CTCACGCAAAACGAGGCGAACCATCGGAAGCAAAATAAGGTGGCCTTCGCTAATAGAAAATAGGGTGGTTTCTGACATGCAAAACAATGCGAGCTTTTCGCACGAAAAATGAGGCTGGATACGTCGCACAAATCGAGACCAACTCTGCACACAGAAAACAAGGTTGGCCTCGTGCATGCCAAAATGACACGAGCTTAGTGGACGCAAAAAGGGGAGGGCTACTGGCATGCAAACGATACAGACACCTCACATGGAAAAATATATTTTGACATCTCAGAACAAGGTAGGCTCCGCTCACGCAGAATAAGGCGGCTTTACGCACAGAAATATATATTTTGAATAACATGAATATGATAATTTGTTGTAGTGGTAAGTGTCACATCCCGGCCCGGGCCCCACCACATCCCGGGCTCGACTCTGCCGTGGCACGATATAGCCCGCTTTAGGGCCCAACCATGCCTTCACGGTTTTGTTTCTGGGAACTTACAAGCAACTTCCTAGGGGGTCACCCATCCTGGGATTGCTCTCACGTAAACTCGCTTAACTTCGGAGTTCCTATAGAATCCTAAGCTAGTGAGCTTCCAAAAGACCTTGTGCTAGGTAGAGATGGGAATATACATATAAGGATTTGGCTAATCTTATTTTTGTTTGGTCTTAATGAATAGGTACAAGTCAAATTTCTCATCTGTTACAGCTGTATCATTTAGCATGTTAATTTATACTTAAGCAGCCATACCTTTATCCTGGAATCCCGGATTTCTTATTTTGTTTCTGTTCTGTGAACTGAAGTAGAATAATAATTCATGTCAACCTTAATTTCAGGTTTCTAGACAGATTGGTGAGCTCATTGGAAGAAAAGAAGCACCATGAAGTTAAGTTGAAAGAGAGTCTGAATAGCATAGTTGGCAAACGCATGGAACTGCAGAATTCTTTATCTTCTTCCTGGCCTAAGCAGGTGACGTATTTGTTGATAGCTTTTGATAATGTTCTTGAGTTTTCAGATTACACTACAATCCGTCATTTTATGTTGTCTAACTTTTGCGCCTGTGGCCCTTTTAAAAGCCATGCCCCATGCCCATGCATGTGAAGAGTGTTGTAGCTCTTTAGTTGAGTATTTTCTTCTAAGTTCAGAAAAATGTGCATACTCGAGAAGTTAAATAAAACAGAAGGCTTAAAGCTTTAGGTCGATAAATGTTTGGCAAAAACTAGAAGTATTTTGAGTTTTGGTGTTTTGTTTTTTGTTTTGAGGTTTTGACTCTGAAACACAATTTGTATCAAGTATCACTATTAATACTGGCTGTAAAGTGTGACTTGTGTTCTAAGCCCCTAAGAGTTGTACCATTGCATTAATTGTTCTTTGCAGAACAAAATGAAACGAAACAGTGAGAACTTGTGGTGGGTTGTATTCGGTAACTCCTAAGCTAGCAATGTACTGTTCAGATTGAGGTCTCTTTATTAAGGTGTGGCAATAGACTCATGTCTTGTTGCGTTGTCAAGTTACAATACCGATTAAACAGGCTTAGTTATTGTGTTTAATCTGCTTCTTGTGTTAGCCGGTTGTATTCTTGTAAGTTTTGCGTTAACTAATAACCAACACCTCTATCAAGTTGAGCTCATGTTGTGTGGAAAACTGCCACCTCTTCTCCATTCACTTCCTCGCTTTTTGTTCTCATTTTCGGTTTGAATTTTTGGCACAAAGCACTAACTTGTGGTTCAATGGCAGGAAGCTGCTCTTACAAAAAGATCCACTCCTTTAAGCGACGTGGGATGTTACAATCCACCCCCCTTAGGGGCCCGACATCCTCGTCGGCACACTTCCGGCCAGGGATTGGCTCTGATACCAAATTGACACATCCCGCCCCAGGCCCTCATCACATCCCAACTCGACTCCGTTGTAGCAAGATATTGTTCGCTTTGGGCCCCAACCACACCCTCACGGTTTTGTTTCTAGAAATTCACGAGCAACTTCCCAGGGGATCACCCATCTTGTGATTGCTCTCGCGCGAACTCGCTTAACTTCGAAGTTCCTACAGAATCCGAAGCCAAGGAGCTCCCAAAAGACCTCGTGCTAGGTAGAGATGAGAATATACATATAAGGCTTACATGATCCATTCCTCTGGGTGATGTGGGATGTTACCGTAAGAGAAATAAAAGAAAATTTACTAAAAATGTATAAAAATTGAATTCAAATTCTTGTGGGTGCCAAAAAGTAAAGTCACGCATGACTTCTGGCTACCACAAAATCACTCTTAACTTTCTGGCACCCATAAGAATTTGAATCTTTTTGTACATTTTTCTTTTATTTCTCTTACCACTACAACAAATTATTATATTCGTGATATTCAAAATCGACAACAAACTATTATATTCGTGATGTTCAAAATATATTTTCCATGCAAAATCTATTATAGTTTGTATTTAAACACTTGTAATCAACAATTTAAAACCTATATTTAAAGATATTTGAAACTTTTTTTTTGTTAATTTTTCTTTTAACGAAGTAAAATTTTGTTATTTTTCGTTTAAGCCTCGCTTACATGTGATTTTAACATCTCTAATTTGAAATGAAATTAAAAAAAATATACATTAAATACACATTTTAACATCTCTATATTTTTCTCTTATTTATTTTTACTTTTTGGCTTAAATATCCTACTAAATATACACTTGTTGGCATCTAATACATCCTACTTCGTAATAATGAACCGAACTAATTTTAAATATATAGTATATAAGATTATAAATTATTACAGTCGTCGAATTGGTTGAGATTAATCTCTACTTAAACTCAATTCTCTCTTGACCTCACTTTCTTTCTATTCTCTCCGGACTCAAATAGATGACTCCGCCAATTCCACTAATCTCAACAGTTTACGTAACTCAACTCTCTATTGACCTCATTTCCGTTCTATTTTCTTTGGACTCGAATCGATGAATCTGCCCTCTCTATCTACTCCGACTGACATGCTCTCTATCTCTTGACTCTAACGCTTTCTATGTCACTCCTCGATTGGAAAACGACTTTAGAAAAAGACTTGGACTACTTGGGTCTATTTAATCTAACGAAAAACTGGCACAAAACTGAGTGCAGTGGCGTTCTAGGATTCATATAGCCGACCCGACTTAGTAGTAGGATAAAGCTTTATTGTTGTTGTCTTTCAATCTCTAGAATGGATTAAATTGAACCCCAATATAAGCGCCTTACGAGTACATTCTATCCAATAAAATACCAGACGAACAAAGCCAAGAACCATCAATGTTACAATTAAAGGAACCAGCCACAACCACCGGAGAGCAGATCAATCTCAAGTTGTTTACAATTAAGAGAGAGTATATACAACTATAAAGCAACTAGGCAGTGAAACGCAAAGACAAAACAAATGAGCTTTCATTTTTCTTTGGCCAAGACTAACCACTGAATTCATTTCTACAGAAATACGAACTCACAAAACTGAGCCAAAAGCCAGTTGCTAGCAATGACAATGAGCAGCGCTAAATCTGCATCGAGACGTCTAAAATTGTTCAATATCTAATCTCTTTTGACCTACGAAAATCATACATACTGGACGTCAACTTTTCCATGATACAAACTCAATAACTTAGGTACTTCATCTTTATATCTCGCCACAAACCTCTCCAAGAAGCACTTCTCCGATGGCACCAACACAAAACCCAAACTCACGTTTTCAATCCCCCTTATCAATCCTTTCAACAACAACACTTTAACAACTGAAAACCTTGGAACCAATCTCTTCTCGGAACTGAAACCAAGGGCCACCGGTTTTTTTGCAATAATTTTTGAAGGCCATCCAATCTGGTTTGCTAAAAACTCCATTGCTAGCATTTGTTTCTTCTTCGACACAAACATACAGTGTGGATGCCGCTTAAAAGCAGAGAGAACATTATCGTCAAACCAACCCCACGTTTTGCAAACTTGGCAAAACCAAACAACGCGAATATTGATGTCAGCGAAGTTGATTTCTGCAGATTAACACCCATTTGCTTAACCTCGTCCACAAGTTGACTAAGCTCTTTAGGCTTTAGCATAAAAACGTAGGGATAACAAGCAAGCAATAGAGAAATGCAGTGTAGGGCAAACCTAATTCTCTCAAAATCTGAATGTTTGGCGTCACCTTCTTGGCATGGCCTTCCACCAAGATCCACGAACCCTTCCAAAAACATTGATTGACATTTTTATCTCATAAACCACTCTCCTCAGGAAATCACAAAGTGGGCACAATCCGCCCGTAGTCAAAAGATTCGGGTTGTACGCCACTGTTTTTCAAGGTCCTGCTTCAAAACTCCAACAGACCTGAAAAACTCAAACTGCGGCAAACAATTCGATTATCTCACCTCAATATTCTCAATTTGCTCGACTACTGCAAGGAGGAAAGTTTCCTTTTCCTTGCTAACCCCCTTTGTTCAGAACAGAGGTTTGAAAAGACTACTTCAAAAGGAAGGAAGAGACAGCAAACTCCATTCAAACTGCTTGTGGACTGGGAAATTTTTTTTCCTTGCGACCGGAACACGAAGGTATACCACGTGTTTTTATACAAGTGGTGGGAAATTGTATTTTTTAAATTATTAACTTTTTAACACACATATCATACTATTTGTATAATAACACATGGTGTATCATCTCATATTCTCGTCATATTGAAAAATCTCTCGTGGACTAGACTTCCTCCACACATCACAAGACCCAATGAGTTATGCGACGAGTTTCAAAACAAGCAAACTCTTGTTGGATGGAGTTTGTTTTTCTTATTTTCGTATAGATTCTAAACACAAATAATTTCATCTATAATCTCTTCACGTGACATTGAATTGATTTACTAACTTATTTATATTTTCGTGTAGATTTTTAAATGTGAAACTGGTTGAATTTGGTCAAGTAACATTAAAGTCTCAACATTCCAAATCAGTCAACAAACTATTAACAAAAGAAAACAATTAGCCTTAATGACCAATTTAGCTCCAGAGCACCCACAAACGAGTAATGAACTCTTGGCAATGACCATCAATCTTAAAGTTGAAGGCGCCACAATCACAGACAGCAGAGCAGATCAAATCTCAAGTTAATTTCAAATAAGAAAGCATATATATAACTAAAGTAGCTAGACACTGGAACGTTAATACTAACAAACGATTAACGACTGAACTCATTCATAGAAAAATATTAAAACAGCAGTTAAGGACACCGACTTGTAATCCTGAGCCAAAAGCTAGCTGCTACCAATGGCAATGAGTAGTTCTGCAGCTGCATCGAGGCGTCCAAAAATTTTACAATACCTAACCTCTTTTGACCCACGAAACATCATACATCCTCGACTCCAACTTTTCCATGATACACACTCAATAACTGAGGTACTTCATCTTTATATCTGGCCACATACCTCTCCAAGAAGCACTCTTCTGTAGGCACCAACACAGAACACAAACTCACGTTTTCAATATCCTTCACCAATCCTTTCAGCAACAAAACTTTAACAACCAAACAGCGGGGGATAAATCTCTTCTCCAAACTGTAACACATGACCACTGGGGCTTTGGCAATCATTACCGACGGCCACCCCATCTTTATCACTACAAATTCCAGTGCTAGCGTTATTTTCTTCTCCGACACAGTCATACAGCAAGGGCACCTCCGGAAAGCAGAGAGCACAACATCTTCAGACCAACCCCATCTCTTATAAACTTGGAGACTTCGATTCCATACGGGCCTATTCTTACCACACAATGCTCTTATTGCCATCACCGAAGTTGATATTTGCAGATTAAAACCCATTTGCTTAACCTCGTCCACAACTTTACCAATCTCTGCAGGCTTTAGCATTAAAGTGCTGGGGTGATGAACAAGCAACAGAGAAATGCATGATTGGGGCATACCTGATTCTTTCAAAATCTCAATATTTGGGACAACATTCTTGCAGTGGCCCTCCACGAAAATCCGCGAGCCCGACTTGAAAACAGAAACGACATTTTTCTCAGAAACCATACTCTTAAGAAAATTATAAGTGGGTATAATCCGATTTTCCAAGCTTGCAGACAAAAGAGTGGGCTGACGTTCCAAAACTTTTGCAAGGCACTCCCTTGAAACTCCAAGAGACCTGAAAAATTCAAGCTTTGGCAGAAGGATTTTATCAGGATCGGAATGGAGAACGTGTGGGCATGACCTGACGATCTTGGAGATCTGGGTTTGAGAGAATCCATGGTTTCTGAGAAAGAACAAAGCGGAGTCTGGTCTTTCGGGAGAACGCAGCTTCGTCCTCTTGGAGGTTAAAATTGCACCTTCTGGGGACAACCCACATGAGTTTATGAGGTAATTGACGGTGAAATCGTTGTGGTTTTCTGAGATTTCTGAGGTGAAATTTCTGCAGAGTAGCAGCGGATGTTGAAGAGAAACAAATCGTTTAATTCTGGAAGACTGAGAATAACACAAACTGAAGGTGAGCACTAACATGTTTCAATTTCAAATCCAAATTTTGAATTGGAAATGGCCCCAAAACCCTACCTCTGCTTCCGTTCAGTGGGATTTATTGAACTTTACTATTTCTTAGGTAATTTTAGTTACCCCCAACATATTTATAACGCTTTACATTCGTTTTTTTTTTTTCAATTGAAATTTATAAGTATTATTCTTACCACATTTTACGTAACACATTTATATCATCTTTATAATAGAGATGAGATCCACATGTATTAGTAGGTACTAACTCTATTAGAACGGTGGTACATATGTGATATGTAAAATATGGTAAGAGTAGTACTTTTGAATTTTAAAACGATGAGTAAGAGTAGTACATGTAGGTCCCTTTAGGTGCTACACTTACTATCTAATTGTATCATCTTTTTAATAGAAGTGGGGTCGCTACATATGTGGGTTCCATCTTTATTAAAAAGATGGTACAATTGATGGTATCATTAGATAACAAGAACAACATTTTTGTTATCTTACTACATCATCACATACTTTTCTATAATATCCTCCCATCCCACATTCTCAAGAGACTGTTTAGTGTGCCCCCCACACTCCCAAGTGTATAACATGTCATTGTACAAGAAGAAGAACACTTGAAAAAAAAAAAAAAAAAAACTTCCCTCGACTTTAAGGTGTTCAGCTGTTGTAGCATCTATTCCATTAAGGGAGTATGATTATTTGCCCTCCTACTCCTCTTTCCTTACATCCTCTTAGACTTTGCCTTTTGTCTTAATGTCTTTATAAAAAAATCAATATAAGATATTGATGCGGCTTAATTACAATCATTCAAGTAGGAAGGGAGGGGAAATAGATTAAGAGGGAAGAGAATCCTCCTTCTTCATTAAATGCTGCATGTGATGACTAGTGACAAGGGTAATGTAGTTTTTACTTTGGCCTTTAAGGGCATCTCCAACCAATGACCATGTTTAGCCCCATAGTCCTGCAAGAAATTATATTTTAATGAACACTGTCAGTGTCACGTCCTGGCCCGGGGGGGACCACTTCCCGGGCCCGCTCCACCACCGTAGCATGATATTGTTCGCTTTGGGCCCCGACCACGCCCTCACTGTTTTGTTTTTGGGAACTCACACGAGAACTTCCAAATGAGTCACCCATCCTGGGAATGCTCTCGCGCACTACTCGCTTAACTTCGGAGTTCCTACAGAACCCGAAGCCAGTGAGCTCCCAAAATGCCTCATGTTAGGTAGGGATGAGAATATACATATAAGGATCACTCCCCTGGGCGATGTGGGATGTCAAAATCCACCACCCTTAAGGGCCCGACGTCCTCGTCGGCACACCACGGCCAAGGTTAGGCTCTGATACCAAATTGTCACGTCCCGGCCCGGGGGGGGACCATTTCCCGGGCCCGCTCCACTACCGTAGCACGATATTATCAGCTTTGGGCCCCGACCACGCCCTCACGGTTTTGTTTTTGGGAACTCACACGAGAACTTCTCGATGGGTCACCTATCCTGGGAATACTCTCGCACACTACTCGCTTAACTTCGGAGTTCCTATGGAACTCGAAGCGAGTGAGCTCCCAAAAGGCCTTGTGCTAGGTAGGGATGGGAATATACATATAAGGATCACTCCCCTGGACGATGTGGGATGTCCCAGTCAGGCCATATTTTATATCATCTCCAATCGAGATGGCCAAAGGGTCATAGGTCAAATATAGTCATTTGACAAAAAACTTATCTCCAATCGAATGGGTCAAAGGGTCATAGGCCAAACATAATTAATATATATTTTATTATTTAATTGAATTAATATGGTTAATTAAATTAAACTACCATATTAAAATAAAGTTTTCGGACAGATTTTAAGTGTCACTTGTCGCTAAATGAATAAGCCTCCGAATTTCTTATCTTTATATAATCTCAATAATTTTTCGAATAGGAAAAAATTATTGGAAGAGATAAGAGAATAGAATGTGAAGAATTAAAATAAAATGAGGTAATATAGTATGAAATGGTAAAAAATATGTGAGAAATGATATAGGAATGGCTTAGGTATTTATAGGGAAAAAATTAGATTTTTTTTTTAAATTCGTCCAAAAAATAAATATTCAAATGGGCTGGGCTCGTCAGGCTGACTAGTTGGCTGGAAATGGCCAGCTAGCTAGCCTGATTTGGTGGTTTTAGGCCGGTGGGGCCCACAAGCTCTTTGTCCTAGCCTTTGGTTGAAGACGATTTTCGTGTCATTTCGAGCTATTTTCAACCATTTGGCCAAGTAGGTTGGAGATGGCCTAAGTTTGGCATATTGGAAATACTTCAACAGCTGTTGGGAGATAATAGCGTAACTTGATGACTGCAACACTTGTTCTCTCGGCATTTTCCTATTTTGCCCTTTTAGGCTTTCATCCAATTTCAAATTCATACGTCCATCAATTTTTTCAATTTTCGTACAATGACTCACGTTTTCATACTAATGTCGTTTAGCTGTTAATCAATCCGTCAAATTGACCAGTAAGTGATGGTGTGGCAAGCGCGTAGCCTACACTTTGCTGACATGTTTGATTAGTCATATTTAGTTATATCGTTTTTCTTTATGTATCATATGTCTTAATTGTATAGACACAGCATCCTTGCAAAGCCTACGTTTCTGTGTGAATCCAATGTAAATAAGCAATTGGATCTCTTTCTGCCTATGCAAATAAACAGCCGCATTTCAGGAAATTTAGGGAGATGTTCAAATGAGATGCAATTAAGCCAAATTAATAAACACAGTCGACTTTAACTGGTATTATACTATGAAAATGATATCCGACACAACCTATAATGTGAAAACTCAAACAAGTTAAGGACACAAACTTACAACACTTAGCCAAAGGTTAGCTGCTACCAACGACAATGAGCCGCGCTGCATCAGCATCTGCATCGAGGTGTCTAAAATTTTAACATCTGAACTCGTTTGGCCTACGAACTGTAAGACTAAACTTATCAAAAATTACAAGTTAAGAGATTAAGCTCGTGAACCACAAATTTATACAAGTATTAAAATCACAATCCGATAAACATAATGACAAACTAACCCGTAAAAGTAGTAGAAGAAGAAGCCAAACCAGACTTCAAACAGTGCAACTTCTCCTCTCTTGCAAAACCAAAAGTACTCAAACTAACAATAGGTCTTAGTTCAATATTGAGCGAATGTTTTGTGAGAGCAGTGGCTTATGTTTTTATACTAAACATAGATTGCCCTATTAAAATCCTACAAGGAATACAAGACAAAATCCTTATACGAGTTCTAGTCTTAAGCTTATCAACATAGAGTTTCAATCCAAACCAAAGTCAAATTAACTCTCATAAACATATTAAGACTTCTCTATAGCAATCTGAGACAACAAGGATTATTACCAAACCGTATGAATCAGACTCATACTCTAACACGAATATCATACATCCCGGACTTCAACTTTTCCTCGATGCACACTCAATAACTGAGGTACTTGATCGATATATCTGGCCACATAACTCTCCAAGAAGCGCTTCTCTGACGGCACCAATACAGAACTCAAACTCACGTTTTCAATACCCTTTATCAATCCTTTCAGCAACAAAACTTTAACAACCAAGCAGCGCTGCATCTGAACTCGTTTGACCTACGAACATCATACATCCCAGACTTCAACTTTTCCTCGATACACACTCAATAACTGAGGTACTTGATCGATATATCTGGCCACATACCTCTCCAAGAACAACTTCTCTACAGGCACCACCACAGAACTCAAACTCACGTTTTCAATCCCCTTTATCAATCCTTTCAGCAACAAAACTTTAACAACCAAGCAGCGGGGGATGAGTCTCTTCTCCAAACTGTAACACATGACCTCTGGGGATTTGGCAATCATTACCGACGGCCACCCCATCTTATTTACTAAAAATTCCATTGCTAGCATTAGTTTCTTCTCCGACACAATCATACATACCGGGTGCCTCCTGAAAGCAGAGACAAGATCATCCTCAGACCATCCCCACCTCTTATAAACTTGGCGATTTCGATTACATGCAGACCTATTGCTACCACACAATGCTTTTATTGCCGGCACCGAAGTTGATTTTTGCAGATTAAAACCCAGTTGCTTAACCTCGTCCACAACTTTAACAATCTCTTCACGCTTTACCATTAAAACTTTTGGGTGATGAGCAAGCAACAGAGAAATGCAGGAATAGGGCATACCTGATTCTTTCAAAATCTCAATATTTGGGGCAACATTCTTGGAGTGGCCGTCCTTGAAAATCCGCGAGCCATGCTTGAAAACAGAAGCGACATTTTTCTTAGAAATCAAACTCCGAAGGAAATCATAAGTGGGTAGAATCCGGTTGTTCAAGCTCGTAGTCAAAAGCTTCGGTTGATACGCCAGAGATTTTGCAAGCTCCTCCTTTGAAACTCCAAGAGAAGTGAAAAACTCAAGCTTTGGCAAAATGGTCCTCTCAGGATGCAATTGGAAAAGTCTTGGGTATGACCTGACCATCTTCGAGATCTGGGTTGCAGAGAATCCATGGTTTCTGAGAAAGGACAAAAAGTAGTCTGGTCTTTCTGGAGAACGCAGCTTGACCCTCTTGGAGGCTGAAATTGCATCTTCTGGGGACAACCCACATGAGCTTATGAGGTAATTGACTGTGAAATCGTTGTGGTTTTCTGAAGTTTCAGAGGTGAAATGTCTGCAGAGTAGCAGCTGATGTTGAAGAGGAAAATGTGAGGGTTTTGGATCTCCAGAGACAAATCGTTTGAATGTGGAAGCAACTCTACTGGAACTGGAAGATTGAGAATAACCCAATCGGAGGGCGAGGACCTTCAATTTGGAGAGCGATACCATGTCCATAATAGTTAGATGATGAATTTCAAATTTTGAATTGGATGGAAACGCCCCCAAAACCCTTCCTGTTCTTCCGTTTAGTCTTTTGGGTTTTCGGTTTGCCTGGTGCTCTATTCACACATTTTTTTCACTTCGCACATCTTCTATTGGTGGATTGTGCTATTTATACACCATTTTTAACCGTCAACACAAACCTCTTAGTTTTAGATTGTTAGATCAAATAAATTTTAAAAAAAATCAAAAAATAGAAATTAACAAGAAGCGTGTGGGATGTAAAAATAAGTGTGTGTATAGTACGAACCAGGATCCTCGTCGGATCCATTCCCTAGGGATCACGCAATCGTGTCCGTTTATTGTATATCGTGCGACCAGTTTTCGTTAGGTACTATTTATATTTGAATTTTAAATTTTAAATGATTTATGACCGCACGATATACAGTGAACGGATACGATTGCGTGATCCCTAGGATCCCTAGGGAATGGATCCGGCGAGGATCCTGGTTCATATAGTACCTGATCTTCTCCAATTCGATTAAACAGTAAAAATTTGGGAGGAATGCACAACAGCTGTTTGTCTAACACAACAATAACAAAAAATGTTTAGTTTTATTACAAGCAGAGGAGTTGGATTACCAAACAAGGCCAAACAAACTAAACTGAGACTTTTCACACACCATTTGTTAAATTATTTTTTTTTCTTCAATTCATTCAATCCGACCTTAGTGTTGGCGAATAGCACTAACCCTCTTTTATTCAGATTAGCTTTTGCTTGCATGAGTCTAAGATCAATTCAACGGAATTGGATCCACTCCAGACCTTAGTGTCTTTACCAACCAAATAGGGTAAAGACGGTGCAAACAAAACAGTGTGGATACAATATTGATCATAATAAGATCCCTATGGCCTTGCAAAGTAGGCTAACACAAGGGAATCACAATGCAGAATAGTACTAACCACCCAACCATTGTCACTGAAAATAAGGCTAGCTACTTGTGGATAACAACTAGCATAGCAGAACAGGGATAAAGTCGCAGACAAAAGTTGATATATCAGACACTGATATCTTACACATCTTAAAATTTGATATATCAGACAAAAGTTTTGTCATTCCTTCATATCGATAGTAGATTAAATTGAAACCAAAGAAGTAACATAGGTGTGCATTCTACCGAAGGCAATTCCAGGATGAACAAGGTCAAGGACCATTGATCATATAGTTGAATGCACCACAATCACAGAGAGCAGAGCAGGTCAAATCTCAAGTTAATTTCAAATAAGAGAGTATCCGTATAACAAAAACACTAGACAGTGGAACGGGAAGACGAAAAAATGAATTTCATCTTTCTTCATCCATGACTACCAATTGAATTCATCTCTAGGAAAATATACTGAGCCAAAAGCTAGATGCTACCAATGTCAATGAGCAGTGCTGCATCTACGATACTACATCACAACTTCAACTTTTCCTTGATACACACTCAATAACCGAGGTACTTCATCTATATATCCGGCCACAAACTTCGCCAAGAAGAATTTCTCTGCAGGGAGGATTACAGAATACAAACTCACATATTCAATTTCCTTTATCAATCCTTTCAACATCAAAACTTTAACAACCGAACACCTTGGGAATTGGGATTATTCGCTTCTTCAAACTGGGCATTTGGCAATAACTCGTGCCGGCCATCCCATTTTGTTCACTAGAAATTCCATTACCTGCATCATTTTCTTCTCCGACTTGGTCATACAATGTGGGAACCGCTTGAAAGCAGAGAGAACATCGTCCTTTGACCAACCCCACCTCTTATAAGATTCACAACTATGATTCCATATGGACTTACTACACAAAGTATTTATTGCCATGACAGACGTTGATTTTTCCAGATTAAAGCCCATTTGCTTAACCTCATCCACAACTTTGCCGAAATTCTCAGGATTTCGTATTAAAGATCTAGGAAAATGAGCTAGCAACAGAGAAATACATGATTGGGGCATAGCTAGTTCTCTCAAAATCCCAATATTCGGCGCCAGATTCTTCGAATGGCCTTCCAAAAAAATCCGCGAGCCGTTCTTCAAAAAAGCAACAATTTTTTTCCCAGAAAGCAGATTCCCAAGGAAAAGGCAAGTGGGTTTTATCCGCTTCTGCAAGTTCACATCCAAAAGACCAGGAACGGAAGCAATAGTTTTTGCAAGCTCCTCCCTTGAAATTCCAACAGACATGAAAAACTCAAGCTTTGGCGAAAGTGTTTTTTCCGGATAGCCCATGAGAAGTTGCGGGCGTGATCTGATGAGCTTGGAGATCTGGGTTGCAGAGAATCCATGGCTTCTGAGAAATGACAGAACAGAGTCTGCTCTTTCGGGGGATCGCAACTTGACCCGCTTGGATGCTGCAATTGCACCTTCCGGAGACAACCCGCATGATTTTATGAGGTAATTGACTGTGAAATCGTGCTGGTTTTGTGAAATTTCTAAGACCGAGTGTCTGCAGAGTATCAGACTTCGAAGAGAAGAAACAAAAGGCGAGGGATTTAGACCTCCAAGCCCAACAACAAATCTTTTAGTTTTAGTTTTGGGAAACAGGTAGGCCTGGCAATTTCTGACACGACCCGATAACCCGACACGACACGACACGAAATTAACAGGTGTTTGGGTCGACACGATAACGAATCGGGTCTTATCGGGTAACCCGATAAGCACCTGTTAAGATAACGGGTTGGGTCGGGTATACACGTGGGTAAACACGATACACGATAAGCAGAATATTATTTTTATAATTTTATAACCCTAAAAAAATATTGTAATAATTATATACATTAATTTTACAATTTTATACCCCTAAAAATTATAATAAATATATATATATATATATATTAAATTTTATAAAAACTATAATGCATATTAATTAATAATTTAATATGCATGATCATGCATTTGTCAACTTGCCGTCCTTTTTGAAGAAAAAAAATGGAGGGAAAATGAAAATGTTAAGAAAAGTTGAAAATAAAACAAAAAAGTGAGGGAATTAGGGAAAGATGTTGGAGGGAAAAGTGAAAATGATAAGAAAAAGTTGAAAAGGAAACAAAAAAGAGAGGGAAAAATGAAAATTAATAGAAGTGGTGAGAAATTTTTTTTTTTTTTTTAAGTTATTAACTTTTTATCACACACATGACTGTCATAACATATCTCACTATTTTTATAATGAACACGTGACACGTGATGTATGTACTATTCCGTGTACCAGTCAATTATAATTTATACGCACAAAATAAATAGATTTAAATATATTTAATAAATATATATATATACACACACACACACACGGAACTTGATTGATGGCATACGAATTCTCCAAAACTAATTTCAACGATCCAAACCGTCAAAATTGTTTGTATATGCTTGGAGATCACATCAGCAAAAAATCACAAAAAAAAAACATTCAGAGATCAAGTAACGGGACAAAGCTTTTCAACGGTTATAAACGAAAAATCACTATTTAACGGTTATTTTAACTCCGATTTTGATGATTTTTTATAACTACACTTCTTGACCCTATATGAATACAATGAATGAATTCGATCTTCAATTTAAAATATTTACACAAGTGGATACCACAAAATCTTATGTTATACTTAATAAAAGTATAAATAAACTCTAAGTGTTAGTCAATCTATCGTTTTACGAATTCTCCAAAACTAATTTCAACGATCCAAACCGTCAAAATTGATTGTATATGTTTGGAGATCACATCAGCAAAAAATCACAAAAAAAAAAACATTCAAAGATCAAGTAACGGGACAAAGCTTTTCAACGGTTATAAACGAAAAATCAAGATTTAACGGTTATTTTAACTCCGATTTTGATGATTTTTTATAACTACACTCCTTGACCCTATATGAATACAATGAATGAATTCGATCTTCAATTTAAAATATTTACACAAGTGGATACCACAAAATCTTATGTTATACTTAATTAAAGTATAAATAAACTCTAAGTGTTAGTCAATCTATCATTTTACGAATTCTCCAAAACTAATTTCAACGATCAAAACCGTCAAAATTGTTTGTATATGCTTGGAGATCACATCAGCAAAAAATCACAAAAAAAAAAACATTCAAAGATCAAGTAACGGGACAAAGCTTTTCAACGGTTATAAACGAAAAATCAAGATTTAACGGTTATTTTAACTCCGATTTTGATGATTTTTTAACTACACTCCTTGACCCTATATGAATACAATGAATGAATTCGATCTTCAATTTAAAATATTTACACAAGTGGATACCACAAAATCTTATGTTATACTTAATAAAAGTATAAATAAACTCTAAGTGTTAGTCAATCTATCATTTTACGAATTCACCAAAACTAATTTCAACGATCAAAACCGTCAAAATTGTTTGTATATGCTTGGAGATCACATCAGCAAAAAATCACAAAAAAAAAACATTCAGAGATCAAGTAACGGGACAAAGCTTTTCGACGGTTATAAACGAAAAATCAAGATTTAACGGTTATTTTAACTCCGATTTTGATGATTTTTTATAACTACACTCCTTGACCCTATATGAATACAATGAATGAATTCGATCTTCAATTTAAAATATTTACACAAGTGGATACCACAAAATCTTATGTTATACTTAATAAAAGTATAAATAAACTCTAAGTGTTAGTCAATCTATCATTTTACGAATTCTCCAAAACTAATTTCAACGTTCCAAACCGTCAAAATTGTTTGTATATGCTTGGAGATCACATCAGCAAAAAATCACAAAAAAAAAACATTCAAAGATCAAGTAACGGGACAAAGCTTTTCAACGGTTATAAACGAAAAATCAAGATTTAACGGTTATTTTAACTCCGATTTTGATGATTTTTTATAATTACACTCCTTGACCCTATATGAATACAATGAATGAATTCGATCTTCAATTTAAAATATTTACACAAGTGGATACCACAAAATCTTATGTTATACTTAATAAAAGTATAAATAAACTCTAAGTGTTAGTCAATCTATCATTTTACGAATTCTCCAAAACTAATTTCAACGATCAAAACCGTCAAAATTGTTTGTATATGCTTGGAGATCACATCAGCAAAAAATCACAAAAAAAAAACATTCAGAGATCAAGTAACGGGACAAAGCTTTTCGACGGTTATAAACGAAAAATCAAGATTTAACGGTTATTTTAACTCCGATTTTGATGATTTTTTATAACTACACTCCTTGACCCTATATGAATACAATGAATGAATTCGATCTTCAATTTAAAATATTTACACTAGTGGAATTTATATACTTAATAAAAGTATTGAAGGCAATAGATCAAGCCAAAGTTCCAATACAATTTCATGATGTTCGATGTAAATTGAAGATTTTGTAAATGGAGGTGTAAACTTTTAAGAAAGACTTACAATTTTAAAAACAAAAACTCTTTATCCTTGCACATTTAATATTTGTAATAGATTAGTAGTGTATGTATTATTTTTTTTATTAGGCTTTCATTTTCGAGTGTAGATATAGTACTTGAACGAGAAATATTTTAATGTTTTCAAGTAATATTTATGTCGCAATGTGTGGTATGTGCAAATTGTAAAAAAATATATTTTTTTCTTAACGGGTCATAACGGGTCGGGTCACTTTACCCGTTGGGTAAAGTGACACGACCTGTTAAGGACCCGTTAAGATAACGGGTGTGACACGACACGACCCGTTAAGATAACAGGTGTTACACGAAAACGACATGAACACGACAGACACGACCCGTTTGCCAGGCCTAGAAACAGGGAATAACACAATCTGGCGGCCTTCAAGTTGAAGAGGCTTGCCATGTTAGAATTAGAGATGGGCAAGGGTTATAACAGATGGATAATCGCGGTTATTTATTTATGATCATTTAAATTTTTACTTATATAATTGTTTACCTGTTGGGTATTTGTATAAACGGGTATAATCATATCTATAACTGTTTATAAATGGTTAATCATACCCATAGCCGTATACCCATTTACCCATAACTGCATACATATTGACCTATAACTGCATACCCGTTTACTTTTTTTTTTTTACCCGTCTACCTATTTTTTTAACAACTTGAAAATTAAAAAGAAATTCGTCATAATTTTCTTTTTTCTAACTATTAAATACCGTTATAAGTAAATTTAACATGTATTTTTATATTAACGGCAATATTATTTATGAATATATGTGATGTCTCCTAATTATTTGACAGTCAATTTATTACAAGAATCATGCATGGTTGTAGGTTAATCATATATATATATATATATATATATATGTAAGTACGCATTAGTCTGCTAATAAGCATATATATATATATATATATATATGTAAGTACACATTAGTCGGCTAATAAGCTAATTTGATACATATTTGGATTTTTATTTAGAAATATATGTTCATCGATCCAAGCCATTTAATCGATTTCTAATTTTGGGGTCAAATATTTATTGAAAATTCGAGGCCAATTAAATATATATATATAAGTACGCATCATCTAATAATAACATGTTTCTAAATGCTTAAGGTAATCATTATCTTGAATTGGTCAAAGTTCCAAAAGACTCGAAAACAAAACTGTTGAACACTTTAATGCTTTAGCATATTCAATCACATATATTAAACATTAGCCCATCCTATCAACTATATTTTTCTCTCAAGTGAGGCATAAATGTGTGTGTGTGTGTGTGTGTATATATTATATGACCCTTTATAACCAAATATATCTCGGGATACTAAACCTAGTTAGAAACTAATTTTTTTTTTTTTTAGTTTTACATATATTAAAATAAACGGTTAAATGGGTACTCGTTTATAACCACGGATAATATCCATAACCACCCATTTAAATTTCACGGGTAAATGGTTATACCCATAACCGTTTATTTATCTAAATACTTACTCAAAACCATAATCGTCAAATTTAAATGGACGGATAACAGGGGTTACTGATAACCAATGGGTATTTGCCCATCCCTAGTAAGAATTTTCCTAACCAAGCCCATCGGGCCGTTGAAATTTTATCCAATGGCTACAATTATTATAACTTTTAGAGAGGCCCTCTGTTTGTAGCCGTTGGATAAAATGGCTCGATGACCTTGGTCAAGAGAATCTTCACCCTTTGCTCAGGAGAAGATCCTGATCCGCATGTTTTGATATGGGTCTAATGTATTGCATAGTCATAGGTAGGGTCTAATAAGTAGAACAATTAAAGTGTTCATAATTTGAAAACAAAATTGCATCAACTGTCGTTGAATGTTTTATCATGACTCTTCCAAAATTAACATGGAACTTTAAGTTAAACATCAAATCTCATCATTTCATAAAAAAAACTCTCATCTTTTTTAGTGTAAAATATATCATTGTATTAAAATAAAATAAAAAGTTATTCATCAAATCTCATCGTTTCATCAAAAACTCTATCCGACTCCTGTTTTGAATTTTCCTCGCGATTCCTACATATTAGTATCCAAATTTGAATTTGAATTTGCATGAAGTTATGAGAACTACAAGTAGTTTTACATGTTTTCGTTGAGTCGTTTACAACAGTAAGCTTCAT